GAATGTAAACATCAAATGCGAGTGCACGACCTTGGCAATTCATGCACTTTGTCTCTGTGGTAAAGGGCAGCTGTTAAGGGTAGAAAATAGCATATTCATAACACTACAAAAGAAAACACAAAGCTCTTCAAAGAAAGAAGGAAGGAAGAAATCCCAGAAACACAAAATCCAGGAAGAAAGGTGGAGCTCAAAGGTGAAGCCCGACCGAGGAAGAGAATAGCAACAGCGAGGACCTGAGGATGGAGAAAAGAGCCAGAGGAGAGGGTGTGCTGATGCTGAGGTGGGAAATCCAACATAAAACAGGTGCGATGAGGAGGAGGAAGGAAGAGCAGTCAGTCAGACCTGATTAATTGTCTCTCGATGAGGGTTCCTCTAACATTGTTGGAACAGAACACGACCAATGACCGAAGCTCTGATGTCCGAGATTACCAGCGGTGTTTTTGAGCAACGGCAGCAGTGGCTAAAGCACCGGCCTGAGGTCGAGGGTTCGGGGACGAGTGAAGTCGATGTTTACAGAAGCCCCTCAGACGATCTAATGGCTTGTTAGGTGACCCAAACTCACTCCAGTAACACCTAACCGGTAATTATCTGTATTATAAGCTGAATTATTGCCCTTTTACTGCCTTCCCATCCTCCTTTCTTTACACAACCTCCAACCCCTTCGACACGCCTCCTTCCCTCACCTCCTCAGCTCTTCTCCTTTCTTTTTCCTCGCATCCACGCGGTCCTCCGCGTCCACAGAGTGACACACTCTGAACCTCTGAACACGGCAGCGCCTCTTGGCCTGCAGTGGGCCTCGAGTTGCTCACTTGCTGCGTTATCCAGAAACATGCTCTAAAAAAGGGAAGAAAGTGTATTCGGGCGGCCGGCCCGTGTGCACTGAAGCCTCCCCTCGTATGAGAGACTCTAACGAGAACGGACACTATTCTTCCGAAGGAGGAAGAATGTCGGCCATGTTTTGAGGCGCACCTTTTGGGAGGTAAACTTCCTGTGACCTGAGCCAAGTCGGTGAACCAACTGAAGTGTTAGTGCTTGTAAACGTTGGAGTATCAGTTTTCCTTCTGAATAAAACAGAGTCCTGGATGCTTCACAGCTACTTTTTAGGAGCTTACTTTTGGTTTATTTATTCTGCCTTTGACAAACCACAGAAGTCGCCGCTTCTTTTCTTTTAAAATCTGTGTTTCTGCAGCATCTGTGATTGTGTCTCTGTGGTTTTACTTTCTTATAAGCGTCTGTGGAATAGCTTTTCTCCAGATTAACAGATGAATTAAAGAACTTCAGGCTGATCAGCTCCTTAGATTAAAGTTGCCTTTAAATCCGCCCAAAACAAAGGTGATCTCATGCTTCATTCTCATCTGTAAAATTGTGTCTTTATGGGGAAAAAAGAGGATTTTCATCTTTTATGCTTTTTTTTTTTTTTTTTTTTGCATCAAAATTTACTGATTTGTTTTTACAAAATAATTTTCTTGGATTAATTTAAACATTTAAAAATTGATATGGAAGAAAACTGTCATGATCTGAGGCACTCCGAAAAATAATTCATTATAATATAATGCAGTAGCTCAGGTGGTAGAGCGGGTTGCCTCATGATCGGAGGGTCATGGGTTTGATTCCAGCTCCTGCCAGGGGCATTCTGCTGTTGTGTCCTTGGGCAAGACACTTCACCCAACTTGCCCGTGTTGGTGGTGGTCAGAGGGGCTGACAGCGCCAAATGGCAGCCTTGTCTCTGTCAGACCGCTCCAGGGCGGCTGTGGCTACAAAGTAGCTCACCATCACTGGCAGTGTGTGAATGTGGGAGTGCATGAAAGTGTCTTTGAGTGTCCTAAACAAGCGCTATATAAGTTTGATGATGATTATTATTATTATAAGCTTATATTATAATAAATTATTTTTCAGAGTGCCTCAGATCATGACTTTTTTTCTTCCATATCTACTTTTGAAGTTTTTGTGATCTTGAAGAGCGCCCGAGATACCACAGTAATTATAGATATGTCTAGTCCCACTGATGCACTCACTCCCACCTGTTTGAATTGAAAGATTAATGTTAAGACTTTCAAAATGATATGTTTATACATTTTTGGAAATATGCAAATGGTCTTTAAGTGAGGAGTGAGCACCACCTCACCCCTGCCACGTGGACCTCAAGGGATAAACCATTAATCCTGCTCAATGGTCAACTTTCCTCGCGGGGTCACCCATAAAGACAGTGGGAGGTTTAAATTGATATAAATATGCAGTTAGAGCCTTTTTTATGCTGTGTAGGTTTGAAAGGGACAAATTCTGCAAAACTAACCATTTCTGCTGCCGTGTGGGTCTCCTCTAGCCTGGCAAATATATTATTTAGTCTAGCAACGCTTCATTGACGGCTCTCGGTCGTGGGGCGGGTTCTACCGTTGTCTTTCAAACAATCTCTGCATGCTACTGGACAATGAACGTGACGTACTCACTGCAACAGACGTCTGTAAACGAGGCGATCTGCTGTTGAAGAACGCAAAAATACGTCCTTTTTTCTAAAAAAAAAAAGCACTTAAATACATCTATCTGCTCCTGATTCTAATAAAGCCCAAGTCCAAATAGTCCAAAGTTGATGTAAAAGCCATTTCTAACGAGTTGTCGCCGTCTTGTTCCTCTCTGTTGCATCATCCCGCCCACCAGATGAATAGAGGGCCCTGATTGGCCTACAAAGTGGAAAAGCGCAATGATTGTTTCACAAAGCAGATAGAGCGCTATGATTGGCCCACCATTATGGACCAATCACAGCTCTCTATGTGTTTGAAACCCCTCCAGAGAGCTGTGATTGGCCAGCCAGAATGCTGCTAGGGGCTGCGTAGGTTCCAATGGAGCGTTCCTAGACCAAACTTTGCAAAGCAAGAATCTGGTCTAGTTCACTAGGCTAGGTCTCCTCTGCTTCTATAAAAGCTCTAAACATGAATAAAAAGATGATTTTGATTTCGTGCTTCTAAAATCAGTTTTTCAGAATAAGAAAAGTTAACTTAGAACCCCCCCACCACCACCGGGGACCAGTGGCTCTAGTCCCTCCCACACATGAGCTCCTCACCTCATAGCGGCCAGTCAAGGGAGGGATGGGCATGGCCAGAAGCTGCTTGTTTTCTTAAAGTATCTTTCCAGAGTTTTCTACTTTCAGAAATGATGTATGGTTTTTCAGAAATCCATAAAAGTGATTATCTCATCATGTCCTGTGATATAATGTAAGCAATACGTCTTTTTTTGCTAACCACGCCCCCCTGCCCTGCAGAGCTCCGTGCAATAGGAAACTGAATGCCAGCCAGAACAAACCAATAGCATTAGACTACCGCTTAGACGTTTCACATTTAAGGAAGCACCTTGACTGATGCAGAGCTGAGGAACTTTTCACAGACAGGAAAGTCTTTAAAATATAAATATATGAAAACACAGCATGACATGAGAATAATACTCGTAAAACTGTGTGTTTTAGCTCTGATTGTCGGCTACAGAAGCACATTTATTAACAGAAGCGTGAAGTCGCCATCTTAAAAACACAGAGCGACAGACTTCTTGTGTGATATGCTTGTCAGCCACTAGATGGTGCCATCAGATAAGAGAAATACTCTGGAAAGAGACTTTAAAGTGACAGAGCCCTGAAATGGCTCATTCTGGAAGGCACTGAAAAGGCAGCTGAGATTGCTTAATAGGAGGGATGTGGGACTTTTGTATCAACCATATATCTATTATAACTTAGTAATACATCTCCTTTATGTCGACTGTCCACTTGTCTCTTTTCTTTACACTCGAGTCATAACTAGAAGCCATCCTGAAGTTGAAGTCTAAACAAAATTAATTAGTTCCAGGATTATTTTTAGTTTTAAGTTGCACCTTTTTCCATTCATTGACTCCTGTTGATTGACTCAGCTGTAAATTTGCAGCTGAAAGTTCAAACAGCTATTTTTCTAACACATTTAACTATAAATAATTAATTAATCATTTTAAACAATGATTGTTTGGAAGATGGTAGGCGGGACCTGTGATTGTCACATTTTGGCTTTGTTCCCTTAACTAGGCCAGTTACAGGTGATATTATGTACCTTTAGAGTGTAGAAATTGTCCGTTTAAACCTAAAAAAACTTTCCTTTACACCGAGTGTTTATTTGCAAGTTAATCTAATCTACCCTAATAAATCATCTTGTGATAAAGTAAATCCAGCAGATTGGGGAAATCCAAAAAGAGACATTTTCCACGACTGCTTGATAAAACGATGCATTTAGGTTTCAAGGTGGTCTGACGAAAGGATTAGTGAGACTTTAGAGGTGGGACACCCTCCGTCTGCTTCTGGACCTTAAGTCATTCAGAACGCTCAGTCAAAACAAAGACAGAAGCCATTTAAAACAAAGGCCTGTGGAGGGAAGTCAGGGAGCTCATACGTCCTGATGTAGTCTGCTGCAGGACGCACCTGGCATGCTTGACCTCAGCGCTCAAGGCTCCTGATAAAAACAGGCATCCATCCAGAACTCGGTGATTATGGTTCCTCCTTTCCTGGCTGGGAGGCATTTTTCCCATTGCCACCTATAACAGAGGATGTGATGGATTTGCTGGGATCGGTGCCGAGATCTTTCTCCGTATTACGATGTCAAATTGTAATTTCAGTGGAGGCCCCAAAGAAAAGAAAGCTGGGATTCAAACGACACCGACTGTTTCTGTTCTTTTTTTTTTTTTTTTTTTTTACTACTTTTAGTTTTTTTGGGTGGCAGATCATCTATGGTGGCCCAGAAGGCTCACTAAAATAAAACAGCCTCGGCATAGGAGCCGTGTTCAGGACCATGGAGCTTTACAGGGCTGTTGAGAGTCTAACCACCAGGCCTCAAACACTTCTTTTTCAGCAAGTGTTGTTCCAGTGCGAACTTCCGATTTATTATAACTTCTGTTGCAGCTTTTGGATTTCATTGACTCCTCTGGGCCACCGTAGCTCACAGACCCACTCCACCGGGATAATCACATGTGTATTTTAATATCTTCTCTTTAAGGAGCGCCAGAGACAGCGACGCAGACGATGAGGATGACGACCGCCGGATGAGTCGAGGCTGCGCCCTCCAGTACCAACGAGCCCAGGTCAAGGTTCTGACCCAGTTCCACACCACCTCCACAGAAGGCACAGACCAGGTCATCACCATGCTGGGGCCAGATTGGCAGGTGGATGTCACAGACCTCGTCCAGGACTCCCTAAAGGTGGCTGACCCAAAGATAGCTGAGCTGGTGGACCGGACGATCCTGGTGGGCCTGGAGCTCGGATCCACGGTGCTGAAGGTAAAAACTTCTTTTACTGATCGGTGACGGGAAACAATGTTCTTTAAATGGAAAACAATCTTTCCTACTCCAGATTCTGTCCATGAACAGTAGAGGACTTCTACCCAAGTAGTTCCTGTTCACTGATGGGGCTCTTCTTGTGATTCTGAACATATATAAGGATTTACTTCAATTATACCAGTAGTGGTACTTGTACCACAGTTTGAGGAACATGAACCTGCAGGAAATGAATTTCTAAGAGGAATATTTAGAGCTATTTTATAGTAGAAGTTATGAATATTTGTGCTTTTGTTTACTTTAGATGGAAACTTAAAGAGGTGTTAACTTTTGTTCTCAAACTTGAAAATTTCACAACTCTTTGTTTGGTTTTTACCTTTAAACCCCAATTTCCCAATTTCACATTACTTTGTCATTTCTGCGATAAAAAGCCTAACGTGACCCCCGGATGCACCACAAGTGCTACATTCTGATGACGCTGGTAAATAAAACACAGAACTCCATGTGAATGACCACAAAGTCAAGGTTAAAGGTCATCTTCACTGAAAAACTATTTTACAATGATCATTTCTGATTCTAACGGGTCACTCTTGAGTGTTTCATGCAGGCAGAACATGAAAATAGGCTCCCACACCTATCTCCTGCAGTAGCTTCTGATAGAAAACAGACGGTGAAACTCTAGGATTAGAAAATCCTGACAGATCTACGTCACCCTGTCACTAACATTCATGGACTCACCCATCTTGACTCATGAGGGGGAAGGCTGTTGTTGGTGTAGCGTCCAGGAAACAGCTGAGAACATCTCAGCTAGTAGAAGCTAACTGTTAGCATTAGCGACTACACCACACAGCAGAACTCCTCCAGGCTTGTGTTATTTGCGGAGATAAAACATCAGCATTACAGAGCAAACAGAGTCAGTGGTAGAGTCGTGTTGCTGTTAGCCAATCAGAGGAGAGATGTCCAAATATCAGGAAATAAAACTCCAAATTCTGTTGTCTGAAGCTACTTTCTCTTTCACCTGACTCATTCGTCCTCAGTCGCACCGGAGCTTGACTTACAAGGCCTTCACTCCTACTAGTGACCACTGCAGATGTAAAGTTGGTTTTTAATGAACTAACGGCACAAACCGAGATTAGGGGTGTTTTAAAATGGTTACACAGTGATCCCTCGCTACTTCGCGGTTCGTTTATCGCGGATTCACGACTTTGCGGATTTTTTCTTTGGAGCCTTATTCAAGGGAAATTCGCCGATTCGCGGTATTTTTCACCGATTCGCCGTATTTTTCTATGCGAAATATCAAGAAATTCCTGTTTTTTTTTCCATCAATTTCATCATAAAATGCACTTTTTGTAATAAAACTATAAAAAAAAAAACAAGTAAAAAAAATTTTCTTGAGTTTTACCCACAAAAAGAGAATGTGATCATACGATAATTCAATATAGTACTGTACTGTAAATATGGTGTCCCTACTTCGCGGATTTTCACCTATCGCGGCCAGGTCTGGAACGCATCTACCGCGATAAACGAGGGATAACTGTATTACACTTTAATCTTTATTGAACTCAAAGTAGTAATCAAAAATGAGTCCTATAATGTTTAAGCTAGTGATTGTATTAAACTTTTACTCAGAAACACACTTGAAAACAACTAAAAATATTTGTTTAACAACTGTTGATATAAATGACCTAAAATGTTATCATTTAACAGGAAGATTTAAGAGATTGTAGGACCAGTGGAAACACTGTGGCTGGTGTTGGTGGCTCCAGTTAGCATATTTCCAGATCTGAGAATATTTGAATGAGGCTAAAATACAGTAAGGAGCTACATTCAAGCAATACTCACACATGAAAGGGCACTAAAAGGAGTTTATTTGAAAACTAATTCAATAAATATGCAATTATGGAAAATATGTTCAGAGGATTTAGGGCTTTTGAGTGATTTTGATACTTCCACATTAGCAAACAAGGAAAACTGTTTGCCTAGTTCCTTTTATTCATTTATTTTGGGTACTAGGGTTTATTAAATATTGTAAGATACTACAGTAATTAAAAAGCTAATATTAATAATAATTTTTAAGGCCAAAACCTAACTTTGTATTCTCCATATTTTATAGATTTTGGTTTATTTTTGAAGTCTGTTTACATCAAATGGAAACTAAATTCGGCTTTACCAAATGAAATGTCATTTTTAAAATATCGAATAGTTCTGGTTTAACCAGCTACAGGCAACATTCTGAACAAAAACCTGACGACAGAAGCGATGAACGTGGGACGCTTTAGCCAAACTGAAACGGGAACGTCTGAGCGGTCGGAGACGTTCCTTCATTACAGAGAAACACAAACGACTTCAGCAGCAGAAGATCAAAGTTGAATCCAGCAGACAGTCGATAAGCTGTGATGGATGGTTGCGACGCAGTTTGGGAGGTAATTATAGTATTCTGCCTTGTTTTCTCCCTTTTCCTCACAACTCTCCTTTGATTACTCATTTCTCTTTTCCCTTAGTGCCATGCTTCCTTATCTCGGCAACTAACTTTGATGTTGGGACTAAAGAGTGGGAATGAGTAGCAAAAGGAGAAAAATAATAATTATATGTTCTTTCACTTTTGTTATGAAACAAACCCCCGTGTGCTCTAAGTGTTCTCCTCTCCTTCCAAGGGAAGAAGCATCCTGACACGAAGTGCACGTAAATGCGTCAGCCCGGAAAGGTTCAGAGGTCCTTATCAAGGAAGCAGCACCAGTTATTACGCCCGGGCTGTGATTTACTGACACTTCGGCGGTCATTTATGGGGACGGATAGAGGTAACGGTCGGTGGGAGTTTTGATCGCCGTGAAAGATCACAGTTCCGGCCCGTCAGGAGGGAGAATCGTTGGCTGATGGATGCCTTTGATCGTGGCAAAATGGGGAGAAAAGATACGCCACTAATCCATCACTTTGAAGGAGCAATAGATCGTTTATACTGCGTCGCTGGGTAAATAAATAATTACTCATCAGTTTACAAACACATAAAACTTGCCCACTTGAGTCAATTTTAATGAATAAATAGCCTGAGTAAGATGTGGAGAAATATTAAGGCCTTGGAACAGATTTTAAGGGTTTTGAGTTTAGAGCTGCAGACCATATGGGACAGAGTTTTAAAAGTTTTTTCTTCTTCCAGTTTTCAAAGCTTTCTAAACGTATTTTTATTTGCACAAACTTCCTGTTTGGACATTCAGGCTCCAGTAGCAGCTCTTCTTGTCTTGGGAAGCAGCCGTGTCTGACTATAGTTTATCAACTATTTGGTGTCTGTGTTTTAAACTAATGTCTGAAGGCTACAAACCTCACATGTTTACTATCCTTTATAAGTCTTTACATCGTTGTGGTCATTTATAGGGATTCCAGTGTGATTAAAGTCATGTAAATCCTCCCTGAACAGCACGAATCTTCCTGCTGTTTATTTAAACATCTTATTCTCTTGTTTTATTAGCTGTGACGTGTGAACGAATGAACGAACGAACGAATGAATTCCTAGTCTTTTTCTGTGGGGAAACAAAGCTCTGGTGCTTCTGTTTCAGGAAGCAGAGGTTAGTCGGATTAGGAGATTTATCTATTGATACAAGCATTGCATCTCTGATTGGCTAACAGAAACGCGACTCCTCAGCTGTTAATGGAACTCAGAAAACTGTAAAACATATTTTCTTGGGTAAAACCTGTTTATTTATCTCCATAAACAACGCAAGCCTGAATGTATTCCACCATGTTAGCTGATGCTAACGGTTAGCTTCTACTAGCCAAGACATGCTCTCCTTCCCATGGGCAGTCCCAAGCTGAAGGTGGGCGGGGTCTACTAACCATGTGATGTCGAAGAGATTTTTCCATCTATTTCTTAACTGCGGCAATTCAGAGTGACCGATTTGATTAAAAAAAGAAGCTAAACGGTTTCTCGGTAAACAGCGCCTTTAAAACGTGAACTCTAAAGGTTTTCTAACTCGGGGAGTGATTATATAACAAATATGTGGTTACGATTTTGTTTTTTCTCCATGATTGAGCAGAAAAAGCTCAGAATTACATTATTATGTCACGTTTAGGAGGGAAGGACCCAAATTGCAGAAACCCAGGATGACACGAGGCAGGGGATGATGTAAAGTAAAATCCTTTATTTTAAGGTGAACCAAAAACCAAGTAAATCCAAAGGGGTGGGGAGCCAAAATCCAAAAGCTGACTTCATGAGCAGAGAACCAGAGACCAGGAGGGAGAGACAAAAACAACGCTGACATAAAACAACAATGAACCGACAAGAACAATGAGACAAGGAGGGCTTATATAGACAGGGAGGAGCAATTAGGGAAACAGGAAGCAGGTGTGTGGAGTGAGGCTGGAGGGAAGGCAGGTGACAACAATTAACTGGATGGGGAAGAGAACCAGAGGAGGGCAGATAAACCTAACACTATATAACACACAAAACTAAACCTAAAGACTAAGGGAAGAACTCACACAAACACATACACATACTGACACACACAAACTATGAACTGGGGAACAAGAGGCTGTGGCTATAACTTAAGACACACAACAGAGATGCAGACAAAGGACACATGAGGGCGCTAAGAGAACACAAAAGGGAATCCAGAGAGGGATGGAGAAACATTAGGAGACACATGGGGAAAGACGCAGACAAAGGACACATGAGGGCGCCATGAGAACACAAAAGGAGAACCTAGAGTGGGAACTGGAGGGGCTGGGGAACAAAGGGACACAGAACATGACATATTATCTAAATGTTTTTCAGATACCTAAAGCAACGGTTGGATTAAGATTTTTTATGTGAACAGTAGGTGTCACTGATTCATCATACAACGGAAATTCAAGTGTTTTCACCAGATATCATCATAATCTAAGTTGTTTACACTTTTTGTGTAGACCTAGAAATGAGATCTTGAAGTCACTCTGAGTCACAAACAGAAGATGTGTGCTGAACCATCCATTAAAAGCTGAGATGCTTATTTACTAAACATTCACCAGTTTAT